ATGGAGGAGGACACTTGTGGGGATGAGCACTGGGTGTTATGTGGAAACTAATTTGACAATAAACTATTTGTAAAAAAAAAAAAAAACTTAAAAAAAATAATCCTAAATAGTTAGAAACACTCATTTAAAAATGTTGGTGTATCTAGCTCAAAATTTATCTCAGGAAAACCAGGAAAGTGATTTTATCTACTGTCACATTTAGAAAAGAGTAGGTGAGCGATGGCCTTTTTTGGTTTTAGAAGTAGTTTTTTTTAAGCAGATTTTATTAAATTTTTAAAAATGTTTTATTTATTTTTGAGAGAGAGAGGCTGATTGTGAGTGAAGGAGAGGCAGAGAGAGAGAGAGACAGAATCCAAAGCAGTCTCCAGGCTCTGAGCTGTCAGCACAAGCTGCAAGATTTGACTGCAGCTGAAGTCAAATGCTTAACTGACTAAGCCACCCAGCTGCCCCTAGAAGTAGTTGATACGGTTTCAAGATGTTAGGCTCTGATTACTCTCAGATATAAAACATTTCAGAATTCTGATACTGTCTTAGCCAGATATCGGAAGACAGTTCTGAGGATGGCAAAGTGAAAAAAGCATTCACATGTACCACATGTACTTACGTGTGCACATTCACACATCTGTACAGATGTACATGCACACCTATGTATGCACACACATAGAAACCTCATTCACTTGTGTATGTACACGCATGGTATACGTATGGTAGTCTTGGGTGTCTACACGTTTTAAGTGTAAACTCGTTTTGATGAAACAAAATCAGCCACAGAAAGTACATAGTGTTGTAATTATAACTGATGGAAGCTTTCTATTTCTATAATTTGAAATCTTTCTATTCTGAATATCTGATTCTTTTTTTTTTTTTTTTTAGAAAGAAAAGTTTGCTGATGCTTCAGAGGAGGCGATCTCTGTTCAGAGAAGCATGCAAGGTGTGTCTTACTAAAGGATGAGCAGATGGCTTTAGAGAATGTCCCATTCTCAAACTGAAGCTGGCGTCTGGAGTACGTGGAATAGATGCTCCTGTAGTCTGATGTCTCTCTTCTGAAAGCTCTTGCAGCCGGATTTTAGCTTCCTGAAGCCTCAAACTCCCAAAAATCCTTTTTTCTTTTGACTTAAAGCTTGTCCCATATTAAAATTAAATATACTTGGGAAAAATATTATCTTACTTAATTCTCAGTCATTGATAACTGTATTGAGTTTTAGCTGGAAGTAGGAAAGAGAAGCCTAGAAAGGGATGCAGGGTGTCTGCTTTTTTTTTTTTTTTTTTTTTTTTTTTTACTTTTTAAAATATTTTTAAAATTTTTTTAAAAATTTATTTCTGAGAGAGAGAGAGAGCATGAGCAGAGGAGGGTCAGAGAGAGAGGGAGATACAGAATCTGAAGCAGGCTCCAAGCTCTGAGCAGCACAGAGCGCCATGTGGGGCTCAAACCCATGAACTGTGAGATCATGACCTGAGCCGAAGTCGGACGCTTAATCAACTGAGCCACCCAGGTGCCCCAATATTTGTTTATTTTTTGAGACAGAGAGTGGGGGACAGAGTGAGGGGGAGACACAGAATCTGAAGCAGGCTTCAGGCTCTAGTCTGTCAGCACAGAGCCAGACAGGAGGCTTGAACTCATGAACTGCAAGATCATAACCTGAACCAAAGTCAGACACGTAACCGACTGAGCCATCCAGGTGCCCTGCCTGGTGTCTGCCTAATCCACAGATGTGGGGAGGCAGAAAGAGATGCATGCTTGCTTCTGTAGGTCCATTATGCAGAGTGGTTTGATGTATGCTGGGACTTTTTAGTATTCCTGTCCTCTCAAATTCCAAGCATATGATTTGATTTGGTTGTAAGACAGCCAGGCTCTAGATGGCTTATTAAGTATGAAATATATTAAACTTTTAACTTTATCCTCCATAGAAACTGTAAATATATTACACCAGAAAGAGGAACAGTTTAATGCACTGTCTACTGAATTGGAGAAGTTGAGAGAAAATTTAACAGGTAAGAAGTCTCTGGTTACTAAGCACTAGATACATAGTTTCCTAGGATTTGTGGTAACCATAGTACATTACAGCAGCATCTATTCAGGGGTGACTTCTTCACTCGTTAGTGTGATACAGTGTGATCAAAGACTTGAGGGCTGTAACTTCCGCACATGCTCTCTGCCGTTTTTCAAGTAAGTCAGAATCTACCCCGTGTCTCCACTCCTATGACCCTGTCCTTGACTGAAGCCAACCATCCTTTCACTTGAGCTGCTCTAACAGCTGGCCGCCTGCTCTGCCTGCTTCTGCTCGCTTGTGCCCTGCCCTCTGTGGCCCGTTTGCAGCACAGAGCAGTCCTTCCACCATCAAGTCAGGTTGTGTCACTTTTCTGCTCAGGATCACCCGGTGGCTCCCCTGTCACACAGAGTAACAACTGCAGTCCCTACCGGTGCCAGGCCCTGTTACCTCTCTGATTGTGTACCATACTACCCTTCCCTTGTTCATTCTCCTTCAACCGTATTGGCCTCTTTGCGTGCCAAGCACTTTGGTTGCATCAGGGCCTTTGCACTTGCTGTCCCTCAGCTCCTTGAGGTCTTTACTTAAATGTTACCATTCAGAGAGGCCCTGCCTGAGATTTTAACCTTTCCAACTCCTTCCTGGTTCCTTTCTCTGCTTGTATTTTTTCCCCCTCTTAGCAATTAACCCTATTTTTATACTATTTAGTTTCTTTATTGATCTTGTTTATTGTCTCTTTTCTTGGCTAGAATATAATTTTCATGAGGGCAGAGATTCCTATACACAAATATTCCCAGAGCAAGCCTTGGAATACAGAATGTAGTCAGTAAATTTTTGTTGCTTCTAACACTATGGTGCAATTTTTTCCCCTATATATATTTAGATATGGAGGCAAAATTTAGAGAGAGAGATGAAAGAGAAGAGCAGTTGATAAAAGCAAAGGAAAAGTTGGAAAATGACATTGCAGAAATAATGAAGATGTCTGGAGATCATTCTTCTCAGCTGACAAAAATGAATGACGAGTTACGTCTGAAAGAAAGGTAGGTATGAATGGTTATAAGGGTGCCTGATTCAGGTTGGCCTCTGAAGGAAGGTCTTGGAGGGAGGGGAGCCAGAATTCAGGATGGTTCTGTTTTAAAGAGTCCTGTCTCTCTTCCTTTCTCGTAATACCTCAGTGTATCCTTAAGTCATGTATTGATCCTTCTGAGTAATATAATATTGTAGACTTTTTGATGACTTGTAAAGAATTTTGCCAATGACAATGACATCTTTTATAGGTGGTTAACAGTATTTTAACCTACGTCAGTGTAAAGAAAGGTAGCCCTTATTACAGGCTTAGTAAGTATGCCCTGTAGTATGCTGAGTGTATTTTCTGATTCTCTTAATAGTCCTGTGAGGTGAGTGCATTATTCCCGTTTTGAAGAGAAAGGAATTGAGGCTCAATTAGGTGAAGTCACTCCCTTCTGTTCTGGTCCCAGAGCTCTCGTTGTGCTCATCGCTGCACTGTACATCCTCAGAGCTAGCTGCTTTTGTCTTCACCTCTGCTCTTGTCCTTATTCTGAGGTTCTTGTTACTTTGATTTTTCTTTCTTTTAATAGCTGCCATATAAAAAGCAAATGTCTTATAAGGCAAAAAAAACCTTTCAGAGGACATTTTAGGGCCATTGAGTCTGAAAGTGTGACTAGTTGGCAGTTAAGCTTGCATCCACAGTCCAGCATCAGGGGTGCGGTGGGGTGGGGTGTTGGCCACTGGGCCTTGGTTGGCCGCCTCGGGTCAGACCCGCTGCGAGGTGGGTGCAGCTGCACAGGCGGTTGTGGCCGCAGTGCCCCGAGGAGCTCCATCTCTGCAGGTGTCGGCCAGGTGTAAAACCCAGAGGGGCTGCCTGAGTTTCCCTCCTCCGTTCTCAGAGTCGTCTGATAGCCTGTTCTCCAGGTTTGTGTCCCACATCTTGTGTACGTCTTTGTTGAACCACATTAGGATCTCGAAGCTAGTTCTCCAAGTGCTTAGGTGTCATTTTGTATATTCTGTTCTCGAGCGGCACTAGAAAGAGTTTTTGATAATCTAGTCTGCTAAAATTTTGAAACTTAACCGAAATAACTAATTTCCTATAGATGTTTACTTTTCACTCATTTTTCCTTACTGATCTATTGACATAAAATGACAAACCTTCACAATTACAGTAGTTGTCACTCCAAATAATGTATTTATAACTGTCACAGTTGTTAAAATTATTCTGCAGGGCAAGTCAGGTTAAATTTTTTTTGTTGTTATTTTAGACATTGTTAAGTTACTCATAACGTATTAATACAGTTATTAATACTATCTTTCTAAGCATACCTCTAGAATTCAAAGCATTCTTTTGAAAACTCTGACCCCTTGTATTGAAACTTGTTCTAGAACTGTAGAAGAATTACAGCTAAAACTCACAAAGGCTAAAGAAAATGCAAGCTTTCTGCAGAAGAATATTGGGGAAGTAAGTCTCAAAGCAGAACAGTGCCAGCAGGAAGCAGCTAAAAAGCACGAGGAAGAAAAGCAAGAACTGCTGAGGAAATTGTCAGACCTGGTAAGGGGATAGTAAATGGGACTGTGTGCTGGCAAGGAAGGTGAGGGGCGGTGCAGATGCGGCTAGATGACTTTCTCCCTCACTCGGGCTCTCTGCAGGAAAAGGCGATGGAAGTGAGCCACAACCAGTGCCAGGACCTGAAAGCTAGGTACGAAGCAGCCAGTTCTGAGACAAAGGCTCAGCATGAGGAAGCCCTGCAGAGCCTGCGGAAGACCCTGCTGGACACAGAGGAGAGGCTGAGGGCCGCCCAAGAGGAGAACAGTGACTTGTTTCAGGAGATGGTGGAACTGAGAAAGCAAGCTGACAAAGCCAAAGTATGTTCTGGGAGAGAATTCGGTGGCTGCGTTGCATCAAAGCTGCAGTGGGGCTTAGAAAGCAGCAGCAGATGGGATGGGGTACACTGGCCAAACTCGGAGAGCTTGGCGGGATGGCGAATTACATTTTCCTGGCTTCAGGTGTTTTCTGCTAGCTGCTGTTTGTTCTCAGGAGTGGCGGCTACAGTACAGGGCTTTCCCCTGAGTGATTTGTGTAGCCGTCACTCCCCACCCCATGCTGCTTGCTCCCTAGCTGTCACAGAGAGTCTCCAGTTGCCCGAGCTCTGTTTGCCTGCCTACAGTAGGCTTTGTGTTGTGGCCTCTGATCTTGGCCATCTTGCTGCTGCCTTGCGCTGCAGTTAGGAGAGACATCTTGCAGCAAAGCGGGAAGCGGAGGCCACGTGAAACAAGTGAGGATTGGAGAAACAGAGCTCCTAAACAGATTAGAAGTGAGGGGTCTAGAAAGGGTTTTATATGTCCCTGGAAGGCACTGTGAACTTATTCGTAAGGAAGCTGGATACAGGGGCTGTGAGGAAACATCCTGTTGTTAAATAGAGTAGAATTTGATACATTGAATTTCATTTTGTAGTGTCAGGATCATCTCTGTAACCCAGTATATTTTTGGACTCTGGTAGCTTAATGAAGTTCAATCATCCTTCTCCTATTTAACTTTTTCCTCCTCCTATTTAACTTTTTCCTCCTTCTATTTAACTTGCTCAAAGGAAAGTAAATACTTGTCTTCAATTACTTTTAGTGTTTATATAGTTTAGTGCAAAGGAAATGTAAGAGACCATACATAGGACTTCAAACAAATCCCACCTAAATTTGTTAATTCAGTTGGAGCATGACATAATTTATGTCCTACAGAAGATGCCTACATATTCTCTCTCCATGCTGGCTGTCAAGGAGACTTGTCTTTTCCCTGTTAAACAGCTCCAGTTTTATGAGACACCTAACTCTGGATATAATTTCCAGATTTTTTTTGTCTTTGTGGATCCTTTTATCTGGACAGACTCCAGTTCTTGGGTTTGTTTGTTTGTTTTTTTAATGTTTTTTATTTATTTAGAGTGCTCCTATGGGTGAAAGTTGGGGAGGGGCAGAGAGAGAATCCTAGGCAGGCTTTGCACTGATAGTTGAGTTCAAGCTGGGCTTGAACTCAGGAACTGTGAGATCATGACGTGAGCCAAAATCCAGAAATGGATGCTTAACTGACTGAGCCACCCAGGAGTCCCCAGACTCCATTTTTTTTAGTATTTCCCTTAAAAAAATGTTGCAGTTTGATGAAACCATGCTGTTCTAGAAGTTTCTGTTAAGTCTCATTAATTTTTCTTACTGATGTTTTGGTTTTTATTTTTTACAAGGGTCATTTGGTACGGATTGTTCCCCCTTGAAAGTTGTCTTGATACACAGTTTCTCTGGATTTCAATGTTGGTCAACAATGGTGGCTCACAGACTTTTATGAATCTGATGAACCCTTAAAGTATCCCCCTGTCCCCTGGAAAATTTTTATGTTCAACAAATTTTATATAAGATGTCAGGAGGTCCATGGAGCCCACAGAGTTTCTGTGTTTCCTAGTTGAAGAGCCAGTGATTTGTATCCATGCTGTCCAATACAGTAGCCACCAGCTACATTGATTTGAATTTGAATTGTTAAATTTTAATAAATTACAAGTTTATCTCCTTAGTCGCATTTCCCATACTTCACGTGCTCACCAGCCACACACATGACCACTGGGCTACTATATTCTTGCAGATAACACTTAGACCATTGCAGAAGGTTCTGGACAGTGCTGGTGTAATGTGGTCAGGTCATTTTATAAACCAATATGTTTTTTAAACTCATTTATTGGAGTGCCTGGGTAGCTAAGTTGGTTAAGTGTCTGGCTTAGGCTCGGATCATGATCTCGTAGTTTGTGAGTTTAAGCCCCCTGTCGGGCTCTGTGCTGACAGCCCAGATCCTGGAGCCTGCTTCAGATTCTGTGTCACCCTCTCTCTCTGCCCCTGCTCTGCTTACGCTCTGTCTCTCTCTCTCAAAAATAAATAAAACATGAAAAAAATTTTTTTAATCATTTATTTTAGTCACCAAAGCCTAGCAAATTGGTCTTTACTTTTAATAAGTTATATGTAATATTGGGATTAAATCAGCCAGGCCAGTAACTGTCCTTTGGCAAGCTGATGTCTGTCTTGTGGTTAGTTTGAAAAGCAACAATTTATTTTCTCTCACCTTTCCCCTCCCCCTTGTTTGGTTAAAATATATTCATTTTTGTAATTCTCTAGATTGTGTTTTTAAAAATTCTCTGAATTCTTCCTACTAGAGAAATAATGGGGAAGTTGGAAGGGCAGGAAAGAATCTCATGCCCTCATGTCAAAGTCAAACTACTATTTTTATCTCCTAGGTACCACTCAGGGATGATTTCAAAAGTGTTTCAGAGATAAAATAAATGTAGGTAGATCAGCACTTAGCAAAGCTAAACCTGCTTTGTATTATCCCTTAATGGGCTCTTTTCATCTAGTTCCCTGCCCCGCCCCCTGCTTATTATCCAGGTAGTTTGTAGGACATTTATTGTAAACAATTTTAAACTTTGACGATTTAGGTTACATTAAGTTATTTGGGCTTGCATTTGTCTGCTCGATTTCATTTTGTTTCCATTCTTTCCACCTTTTGTTTCTGTAGTCGCTAACTTATTTGTTAACATCAGCCAAAAAAGAAATTGAACTAATGTCAGAAGAGCTGAGGGGTCTGAAATCAGAGAAGCAGCTTCTCGCACAGGAGGGAAATACTTTAAAGTTAGAAAAAGGTTCACTTTTATCAAAGTTGGTAGAGGTGGAGGCCAAAATAACTTTACTTCAGGAAGATCAACAGAAACTGTGGTCAGTAAATGAAATTCTTAATTTAGAAAAGGAGAAAGTCTTAGAAGAAAAAGAAGATGCTGAAAAGCTTTATCAGCAGGAGCAGCTCCATAAAGAATCTTTAGCTGTTGAGAAAGAGAAATTACTACGAGAAATCAATATTGCTCAGGAAGAACTTTTAAAGATCAGTATGGAAAATGATGCTTTGCAGGCTTCCAGAGCGAGCTTGCGGGCTCTCATGGAAGAGCTCCAGCTCAGCAAAGATGCTTTGGTTGCTGAGTCTAAGAAGGGTCAGGAAGAAAAAGACCACTTAGAGGATCGTATCAAGAAGCTCGTTACTGAAAATCTTGCTTTGGCTAAAGATAAAGATGAAATCATTCAGAAGCTTCAGAGCTCTTATGAAGAGCTAGTCAAAGATCAGAAAACCTTGGTGCAGGAGATTGAAGATCTCACGGCTGAGAAAAAGTTGGCTTTAGAGAAGCAGTCAGGTCTTGATAACACGTGCATAGCCTTAAAGGTGGAAAGAGAAAGTCTTCTCCAAAACAACAAAGATCTGCAATTTGAGAAGGATGTGCTTCGTCAAGATCGGGAGAAGCTGAACGCCAGCCTGGAGGCTGCCCTCCAGATCAAGCAGCTGCTCGGCATGGAAACCAGTGGGCTCCGCACACAGCTAGACGATGCCAAGAGGACTCTGAGGAAGGCTGAACTGGACATGAGGCAGCTGCAGGCTACAAATGCCAGCCTCACAAAGCTTCTGGAAGAAATCAAGACCAGTCGGGAGATCACAGACTCCGAGTGCATCCAGCTTCTGCATGAAAAAGAAACCTTGGCCTCATCGGAGAGACAACTCTTGGCTGAAAAAGAAGAACTTCTAAGTGAGAACAGGCTCATCGCTGAAAAACTGAAGAAGTGCTCGGAAGAGGCCACCCATATGGAGATGAGCCTGAATGAGAAGATTACTTATCTAACTTCTGAGAAGGAGGTGGTATGTCAGAAAATTACTAAGCTCAAAAAGCAGCATGACAGTCTCTTGAAGGAAAAGTCTGTCCTGGAAATGCAAAATGGAGACTTGCTGGCAGAAAGAGAGAATTCCATGAAAACCATAGGAGAACTCAGAAGGAAATATGATCAAGAGTCTGCAAACAGAAGAATCGTAGTGCACGAGAAGATGAAACTCCTTGGTAATCTCGACGCTCTGAAGAAAGAGCTCCAGGAGAAGAAGAGGGAAAACCAAGAACTAGCAGCCACGAAGTGTGATCTCTCTCTGATGCTGAAAGAGGCTCAAAATGCCAGAAAGAGTTTAGAAAAAGAGCACACAAGCACTCTGCAGGCGAAGGAGAGTCTGAATGCTGAACTTGAGACTTGCTGTTCTGAGAAGAGCATCTTGCTGAGGGACGGGTTGGGCCTGCAAGAAGAGTGTCAGAGGTTAAGCAGGGAGATCCGGACGGTTCAGCAGTCCTTCGTCCTGGAAAAAGAAGCCAGGGCGCAGGAAAACCAGGCGTCCCTGTACGAAAACAATAAACTTCACGGCAGGATGGCCCTCCTGGAGCAGGAGCTGGAAGAGCTAAGAGCGCATACCAAGCAGCTTCAGTCCGAAAATGGTGTACTCGTCCAAGAGAAGACCAGATCAGAGCAGAGAGTGGTGGAGATAATTAAGGAAAAGGAACTCTTGAGTGCGGAAACGGCTCGGCTCGCTGCCAACATAGAGACTCTGAAGAGTGATTTCGCCACCTTGTCCAAATCCAAGTTAGAGCTGCAGGAACTGCACAGCTGCGTCACCAAGATCCTGGATGACCTTCGGCTGAAGCACGAGATGACCCTGGCCGATCGCGCCAAGGTGGTACAGGACAATAAGAGCCTCCTGGCCGAGAAGAGAGACATGATAGAGACAAAGGAGGAGCTCCTGAAGGAGAAGGAAAAGCTGGCAGAAAGCTACTTCATCCTTCAGAAAGAGATTAGCCAGTTGGCTAAAACCAACAGCCATATCTCAGCCAACCTCCTAGAATCTCAAAATGAAAACCGTATTTTAAGGAAAGACAAGAGCAAGCTCACTCTTAAAATTAGAGAGCTCGAGACTCTTCAGTCATTTACGGTAAAGTGGGAGGGTCAGGGACAGCACCTGGACTACTAACACTGTGCACTAACTTCCTAAGGGCCTCAGGAGGAAAGGCACCCCACTTCTCCAGTTGCTCGTATCTCAGGCTCTTTGTTACCACCTGAAGGAGCCACTCGTTACTAAATCTCTAATCGCAGTTGTTTCTGTCCATTAGAAAGAATTGTAAACTGTGAATAAAAAGGATATATTTTTAATTTAAGGAGAAATTTACTGGGAGAAGTCAGCTGTGGTTCTGAAAGGATTAACAATAGAAAAATGGGCACATATCGAAACACAGTATCTTCTATTTGGCTTTTAACTGTTTTGTTGTGTCTGCCCTTGTGGACTTGGAACCCGCCAGTGAAATCTCCATGGCTGGTGGTGGGGAAGGTGCTACAGAATTCCCAGAAGCTTGTGAAATTCCCAGACCATGTGAAATTGTAAACAAGTGCCTAAACATCTTTTAATTTATTTTTTATGAAAAACAAAAGGTTATTTTCATATCAGCTAAGGATCTGTTTCCATACGCATATTATCTTTTTTATTCACAGCCGTGTTTATACTCATTACCCACAGCTTTTCTCAGAGAACTTTGCATTTAATGCTTCTCATTAAACACTTGAGCCTTATGTTAATAATTGCCCAAATAATTTTTATTTTTCCTTGAGAAATTCCTCACCTAAATTACAAGTGATTTCAAAAGCCCCACATCTGAAATAGGAAGAATAGTGTTTCAAAAACAGCAGTAAGTAAAATGGAGAGAAGGTTATCAGCTACATGAGGATGGGAGTCTCTACTATCTCTGAATGTTTCTCTCCAACATTGGTCAGAATGATGAGCGTGAGTGACTGTCAGTGTAACTTTGGACTTGGAAGATGTAGGTTAGAAGGGGCTGAAAGTCTGCAAATTGCATATTGCATTTGGCTTGTTTGAAGAATGGGATGAAAAGGGTCTGTGACTTTGTTCCCCTTTGGATTAAAGACATCCCCTTTGATGTCTCGGTCTGTTTGTTTCGGCAGTGGATTGGTGACTGGGCTATAAGCACACAAGCCAGTCAGGGCTGCCTGAGCTGCATGGCCTGAGCACCCCTGACGGCGGGAGGGAGCCTCATTTCTCATAGAGCCTTCTTGTATTTAGGCCGCTCAAACAGCAGAAGATGCCATGCAGATAATGGAACAGATGACCAAAGAGAAGAGTGAAACTCTGGCCTCCTTGGAGGATACCAAGCAAACAAACGAAAAACTACAGAATGAAGTAATCAGATTTAAATGGCTTTTTGTACAAAGGACAGCTTACCGACTTCATGGAATATTTGATCACTAACTCAGGATTGTTTATTTTTTGAAGTGTGGCCTTACACAGGTTTGATCTTATGTTAGTGGAGCCGAATGTACACCAGAGCCATGACAATATTAAATAAAGTGTATTACTTCATTACTTATTTAGTAGGATCAACCTTTTAAAATAATGAAGGGAAACCTTGAATAGCGTGGCTTTTTTATGATAACTTCAATGATGGAACTGAAGAGAGAGGTATTTATAACATTCTTTAGTTTTTGCATCTTTTATCTTAAATCACATACATTTTTTTTTTAAATCTTCACTCTCTCCCAACTTGAGCCACTAAATTCCATTCCTTAGCCCCGAGTTTGACGTAAGCCTTTTCTTGGTGTCATTCAGTCCTGATTCCCTTTTGTGTCCTGTCCAGTCAGTCACTTCTGGGTCTTAGATGTGTGGCGTCAAGATCACTTTGATTCTGTCCAAAGTAGCATTTCTCATTCTTGGACCCATTTTTTATTCCCCTCCTCCCCTCTCCTAGCTCATATCCACCCCTTCTTTCTTTGGGAAGCAGTTACCTCTCATTCCTAAGTAGATTGATTCTCCAAAATAGTTAGGTGAAGTTCTGCCTGACTTCAAATGTTTTTAAAAGGGATAGTCAGGTGAGAGGTTGAGGAATGAAGCAGTGGAAGGGCTAGCCACATGGAATAGCTGCTTTGTAAAGCCTCAGGCTTCTCATTACAGAAGTTCAAAGATGGAAATCTATAAAGATACACACATTTTGAAATACTTATAGAGTAAATAAGGCTGTATATACATGGGGTACATTTACAGAGCTGATACTCCTAAGAGAAGAAGAAAAAGCATTAAAAAATCAGATGATAATCACAGAGGTTAAATGAGAAGGTTTTAGGGAATATATCTCATTTTTGAGGGTAGAATTAGGGAGAATTGTGCGCTTTCATGATACAGCCTTTGGTGTCCTTGTTTATAACCAGAAAAGAACACTGGCTGAAACATTTTTCTTGGGACCCTTTGTGATACTTGGTTTTTCTTGTGTGAATCTGGAATTCCAGATTCCTCTCTTAATTGTAGAGGTGGTGGTAAAACTATCAAGACACTGTCTAGGACTCCTGACTGGTGGCATGTGATGTGGCAGAGACACTTCTGTATGAAATGACCACACAAGTCCCAGGAAGCCACTCTGGGGCCAGGAGCAGGTGTTGGGTCATGGATAGCTCGAGCGAGCTCCCTGCCCTTGGTGAGGGCACTGCACCTGGAACCCCAGTCACCTGCCAGAGCCTGTAATTGGTCACGTCCCCACACGTTCCAGCAATGTGTCTGGCTCCTCTCCCATCAGGGCCGGGCGCTAGGCTGGCTGCATCCTCCATGGGCAGGGGATGGGGCTGATGTAAGAGTGCTTTTCAGCCTCACTGCAGGGCTTTTTCCTCTTCAGATCAGAGTTCAGATGGATAAACAAAAATTTCCCACCTACAGATAACTTTAATTCAAATAATTTTTATAATGAGGACTCAGTACGTTTCATTCTAATGTTGACAAATACATCCGAAGCTACTAATGTATGGGGAAGGAAGGAGGTTTTAGATTTTAGTGCAAGGAGTAATCCTTGCTGATGTCATGCCTTTGCAATTTCTTTCTTTTTTTATTTTTTTTTTTTAAGAGGGGTCATACTTGAATAGCAAGTTCAATGATGAATACTGAGAATTGATTCAAAGTGAAAGCAAACCTTTGTTGTAATTCATGGGACAATTTAGTTTGACATTTTGGTCCGGTGTACAAAAAATGTCTGACTAAATGTAAGGGGGGAGGTTTGCCATTTATAACAGATGTGGTCACTTGTCATCTCCTTACCTGGTGACTTTTTTTTTTTCCCCAAGTGACTGATTTCACCTATCTTTTTAGTGCACGTTTGCATGAAAAATTTGTCTATCCAGTCCTGCCACTGGAAAATGAAATAATTTCATCAAGTTTTTTTTTTTTTCTTGGTCTTTAAGTTGGATACACTTAAAGAAAACAATCTGAAAAATGTGGAAGAGCTGAACAAATCAAAAGAACTTCTGACGGTAGAGAATCAAAAAATGGAAGAATTCAGGAAAGAAATGTAAGTTCGTGTCCTTTGAGAGAAACTGTGGGACTTTAATATCACAAAAGTGAAAATGATGCTAATGTAAAAAATAACTTGACAAGTACTTGAAGTAAAAAGTAGTCCCCACCCTTCTGTCCCCCAAATACTTTAGCATAGCTGAGAGAGAACCCCTATAACCGCTTCACTGTGAGGAAGCGAAGTCAAGATAGTAGCTGAGTTAAAGGAGCAAAGTGAAAAGTGTGCTGGCTGAGAAGTTAGGACTCTTTATTAATAAATCTCTCAAGACCTTTCTATAGGGAGAAAAAAAGCATGTCACTTTTGAGAGTGTTAATAATCTTGATTTTAAGAGTAATGAAACCTTCTGGCATGGAAATCAGATGAAAGGATTCTGGAAGAATCTTTTATTTATTTTTGAGAGAGAGAGGGAGGGAGGGAGAACATACGAGCCGGGGAGGGACAGAAGCAGACTCCAGGCTCTGAGCTGTTAGCACAGAGCCCGATGCAGGGCTCCAACTCATGAACCATGAGATCATGACCTGAGCCGAAGTTCGATGCATAACCCGACTGAGCCACCCAGGCACCCCTGGGAGAATCTTTCTAATGCAGGTGTATCCATTAGTCTGCCACTTAGATTTCAGCCAGATAGGCTGGCCATGTTTCCTTTGTCAACACCACCTCCAGCTCCTGCCTTTCAGGCCTTTTAATTGTTGGTGTTTATCTGGCTTTTTCAATGGTCATTTCTGTGTAGATTTCATGTTGCTCTTCTGTTCACAAAGCTCTGTCAGCTGTGTGAACCTGGAAACTTGAAGCCAGTTAATCTGGTGAACATTGGAGTGTGTCTTCTGTGCTAGGAAAGATACAAAGATGGATTTGTATTGTCCTTGTCCTTCAAGGGTTGATGTTATTTATCCCCAGTTCTGACTGAACATAGAGATTAGCTTCAAACAGAAGCAAAAGCATCATTTCTAAGTCCCCATCCTCAATACAATTTGTTGATCAAGCTTGGGACTAAATTGGTACCTGGTTGGGTTCTTCTGAGACTTGGTAAAAATCCTCCAGAAGGAATCTCAGCAGTTTAGGCAGTGCATGATTAATCCCTTCCTCAGTCTTCATTTTTTGTGTTTTTTAAAAAAGTTTTTATTTAAATTCTACTTAGTTAACGGGAAGATTAGTTTCAGGTGTACAATATAGTGATTTAGGACTTCGATACCCAGTCTTAGTTTTAATGACACTTCTCTAGACAGTGATTCACTAGTTCCCAAAAATTCTGTTACATGTACAGATTGATCAGTACAGTTATGATTGAGCTTCTTGGTCTTCTCAAGCCAAATCACACAGATAAAGGTCCCTATGATGGGAAACAAAGTCATCGTCTGTTGTAGGACGGTGGCTGCAGATTTGGTTTGGGACTTTACCCCATGATACACATCATGTGCCACCCAGCAGACGGCCTGGGCTGCTTTTAATTCTCTGCCTTATTATCTGGCCCACCAGGACTGAGGGAGTTGCATCTTCTGTGGGTAACCTGGCACACCGTGGCCAGGGTTTTTAGCAGGAGGGGGACCAGTAGGAGACACCAGTGACAGACGTCAGAAGCTGGTAGAGGGAGTAGGAGGAGTAGGCTGAGAGAGCCCCTGCCCCCGTGACTCGTTCCCTGCCATACGCTTGGCCGCGTGTCAAGGACCATCTAAAATAAATGTACTATGTAATGGGAATGGTGCTTCTCCTGGGGGGAAAAAAAAGGCAGTTATTTTACTGTTCCTCAGTGCTCAGTGTGCAAAGCTAGAGAATGAGCAGCTGATTATTTCCTTGTGGTTCAGCATGTATCTGGGGCGCTTTGTGTTCTTTAGAACTTTCCTGGTATTTCCTCTCACCTGACAGGACTTTGATTCCTGGAGGAAAATGGACACCAGTGTCTACACTGGAGTTCTCATCAGAGCTTACCTCCCGTGGAACATTGCCCCTGGTGCTGGAAACCCAGTGCTTGTAGCTGAATATTCCTTTTCCTCTGTGCCATTTATGGGCTGCTTTTAGGAAACCTCTTGATTAGCCAGCTCCTATTTTCAGATGGAGAGAGAATAAAATGGTTTCTCTCTGATGTATAATTTCAATTCTTAGGGAAAACGATAGAAGCGGTTTAATTTTTGTCTTTAATTACTCACCTGGCACAGTAATAAATCTAGAATTTACTTAGTGTGGCAGTTAATTGATAGATAACAGACTGGTAAGTAGAATGTTTGCAAGTCAATGTTAACAATATGTATCTTGCCTCTCATTTTTAAAACTGGGATAGTCTTCTGTCATGTAGAAAGAAAAGTAGCTTAGAAAATTTGTTAGAAATACTTGGAGGTCGGGGCGCCTGGGTGGCTTAGTCGGTTGAGCGCCTGACTTTCGCTTAGGTCATGATCTCGCGGTTCGTGGGTTCGAGCCCCGCGTCGGGCTCTGTGCTGACTGCCAGCTCAGAGCCTGGAGCCTGTTTCAGTCTGTGACTCCCTCTCTCTCTGACCCTACCCTGCTCACGCTGTCTCTCTCTCTCTCCTAGAAATAAATAAGAATATTTAAAAAAAAAAAAATACTTGGAGGTATTTTTGGACTTATTCCCTGGAGTCCTTCTGGAAGTTGGGCTATTAGAGCCTCCTTTCTGTACCCACTATACTCTAAAGAGAAACGGGAGGGGCGCCTGGGTGGCTCAGTCGGTTAAGCGTCCGACTTCGGCTCAGATCATGATCTCACGGTCCGTGGCTTCGAGCCCTGCGTCGGGCTCTGTGCTGACAGCTCAGAGCCTGGAGCCTCCTTCGGATTCTGTATCTCCCTCTCTCTCTGACCCTCCCCTGCTCACACTGTCTGTCTGTCTGTCTGTCTCTCTCTCTCTCAGAGAAATAAATAAAAACATTAAAAATTAAAAAAAAAAATAAAGAGAAACGGGAAGGTATTTCTATGTTGGAATTACATTGGAGGTCCGTCTGCCAGTTTTAACTCCAGTTCTCTTGCTTCTACAACTTCCTGGCTTGATGATTTGGAGAAAATCTCTCACTTCCCTGAGCTTCAGTTTTCTCATCTTTAAACATAATTAATAACATTAGCCTCCTTGGCTTTTGAGAACTAAATGAGAAAATAAATATTTGTGAAAACATTTTTATAGATCTTAAAACATTAAGTATTGCTTTTTCAGATCAATGCTTTAAGACATTTTGAAATTTCTTTGACTCCTTGTTTTAATTTTCTTCACTGTGCGCTCTTAATAGAAACCAAGGATTTCAAAGGCCGTTACAAGATGAACATCTTTAAGAGGCAAAGAGCAGGATTACATACTTCTCACTGACAGGCCATCCCGATGCTGAGACCAAACAACCCCTGAAGAAGGCAGTGACCACCTAGGAATAAAAGATTTGACTTTGGATGATTTCATCCTAAGTAAAATCTTCAGATTTGTCTAGAATTGATGGACTTTAGGTGTCCTGGGTGTTAAATGGAAGCCAACTTGACAATAAACTATACAAGAAAAAAAAAAAAAGAATTGATGGACTTTGGCCAGAAGATGAACTTGAGCTGTAGTGTGTGTGTGTGTGTGTGTGTGTGTGTGTGTGTGTGTGTTAATCCATAATTAAAATCAACCCTCCTAGTTTTCTGCATGACCTGAAGCTAAAATTCCTTCTCTGTTTTCCCTCACTTGCTAAATAGACATCTCAGTAAAACACTTAATTTAACTTAATGTGCTAGGAAAATTTTTGTGTAAGTTTATTCCCCTAAATCTTACCCCAGCATGCATATTATAGGGGGATGGAGAATTAAAACTCAAAAAAATCTGAAGATGCCAGGCATTGCCACACATTAGACAATTGAAGTTAAAAATAGATGTGTTGCTGCATCAGCAGATGGATTCATACCCGGATGACTTGGTTCAGGATTCAGCCACGTATGACAGCTCCCTAAATGGAGTTTAGCCAGCACAGACCTAAAATTCACAGTGGCTTCAAACCCTTCTATGACAGAAAACTAAAATCCAATGATCAAATAAAAGATTTTTAATATCCACATGTAAAGGATGATAATTAGAGATGTATATTTTGGATAATTTTTAATATTGGGGATATGTTTAATAAATATACTTACCCTGTTACATTTTGTATACTGATATTCATGATAGAGGTTAGCAGGCTATATTTTTATTTGCTTCTTTTAATTACAAATTACCATTGTGGAAAGAACGTAATCAAAGCGAAACACCTGTTATGTAATTGGAAAACCGCATTTCCTTTGGACATTTCACCTCGAGTTGTCCTAAAAATATACTCAGATTCACACCAGCAATTGACTCTGACAGATACTGGCTAATAGGACCATTAGATTTTTATTTCTGCCAGAAAAAAACCACATTACAGATCTGTGCAGTCAGAACAGAGTACCTTGGCAGCACGGTAAATCACTTTATCAACATACTAGGTTTTAGCATAATTTTCTAGTGGAAATAGTCTGAAAGACCAGAGGACTGACCATTTCATTTGTCATTTATTTTATAGTAACATGCATTTTTGTATGGGGAGTGTTCAGAAGTGGGTAAGTGTGGGTGGAGAGAGGGTGGATATCATGTTTATTAGGTTTTAAAAAATAATAATTGTGGGCCACAGTCCCCCTCCTGAGAGGTTAAAGCCATTTAGCCTCTCCTGCACGTAGATACCACTGCCTCCTGTGATTATAGATCCTATCAGGCACGTGACTCAGATATATTTTCCTCAGTGCTGTGAAGCCGGTCGTCTCCCACAGTTTCCTTGCCTGTCTTGTTTCTATGGTAACCCTGCACTCACTGTCCTTGCAGAGAAACCCTCAAGCAGGCAGCAGCTCAGAAGTCCCAGCAGCTTTCAGCATTGCAAGAAGAGAACGTGAAACTTGCTGAGGAGCTGGGGAGAAGCAGGGACGAAGTCACAGGTCATCAGAAGGTCAGTGGGCCGGTTGAGTGCGGGGCGGGGACGGGGCATACCGAGCTCTCCGGGCTCCTGTCTGCTGCTGTTGGCAGGGTGTTTGGAGGCCCCTCAGAGAGGTGCTCGACATGGTCGGGTCCTTCCAAATGGGATTTCAAGTTGCCTGTGTGATGTGTCTCCTTGCTGTTCAAGTGTGCTGCTGTAGGACTTAGGGTAGGAGTTGACAGATGCTTTAAAAAACAAAAACAAAAACAAAAACCAGTAGCAACACTGAGAACTTGAGCAACTAGAAAATAAGACCTTTATTAGACAGCCTCATAGCAATGTGTTTAAATGGGAAGGAACAATATCTTCTCCCTGCTATTGCCTGGATTTCAAAATTACTTTCCTCTTAAGGTTCTTCTTTTCTTTCATCAGAATTTGTTTGAAGGAAGCAAATTCCCAGAATATGGATTTGGTGTGGGGGTTGGCAGCTGTTTTTAAATAGAACTCTGCTTTTCTTTAAAAAAAATTTTTTTAAGCATTTCCTAATGGAACCGTGTGTGTCTCTGCACTTGTGTGCGATTTGTGTTACACATGGAATGAGCTGGAAGGTAACCACAACCCATTTGCTTCTGTACTTTAATCACAGAAATTTCTGATAAGTTTATTAAGCACTGAAGCAAAACTGATTTTAAAGAATGACATATCCTGCTTTTTATTCTTTAGTAAATTGAATCAAAGTGCTAAATGGTGGTCCTCTCTGGCCTCAGCAGAAGCTTCAAATGATATTTTTAAGAGAATTTTTCCCTGTGGTCATCAATTCTTGATTTATAATTCAAGAGAATTTTTTCTTCCAGGAATACTTGGCAAAGATTATTCCCACTTGGGATAGAGTAATCTGGGGTAATTGTATTGAGTACCCACTGACATGGCACAGTTGATGGTGAAAGCACTTTTTGGAGAGTTGATTTCAGACTTTAAAGTCCTCGTTATAGCTTTCCACAATTTTCTTACTTCATGAAAGGAATGCCACCTCTCCAGACTCTGGGATGGTGATGATGCTTTTGGTGATGTTAGTTCATGTTTATTGGCTCTTACTATGCGACAAGCACAAATAAATGATAGCTGTCACCTCACTTACTCTTTACAATAATTCTAGGCAATGGCACTGTCATTATTTCCGTTTGTCAAAGAGGAAACAAGAGCATGAAGATAGTAATTTGCTCATCCTCGTTCAGCTAAATAGTCAAGAAATGTTTGCCATCTTCTGATGTGGGTCAGGAATAGGATCGAAGTGGATTGATTTAAACAAGGTCACTGCCCTCTCCTTTAATCAGGATGTGAGAAACTGGAGTTCATGAAAAATAGAAGCCCTTTGACCAGATGAGGTCCTTTTTTTCCTGGCACAAACTAGAGCATCTAAAACATTGGGCAGCTGCTCTGTCATCGCTGTGTCTGTAAGTTCTTGCAAGAACAGAGTCTCCAAGAGGTCCATCTCTTTCGACTTCATGGAGCATCTCTGGCAGAGAGAGTGGATCCTTTACATGGGAAGAACACAGAGACATCCTTCTCGTGTCTCATGTTGTGACCTTAACTGGACTGTTGACTGGTTTTTTGCTTCTTTCGCTCGGGTATGGAAAGCAGTGGGAGGAGGCATCTTGCTTCTTTGGGCAGGACTCTGCGGGGCTCCCTCTCTCCCATGTCCTTCTCTTTTGCATGTTGGCATTTGAATTGCCTTCCTTTTGTTTTTTTTTTTAAATATTTTTATTTATTTCTAGGAGAGAGAGAGAGAGTCAGCATGAGCAGGGGAGGGTCAGAGAGAGAGGGAGATACAGACTCTGAAACAGGCTCGAGGCTCTGTGCTGGCAGTCAGCACAGAGCCCGACGCGGGGCTCGAACCCACAAACCGTGAGATCATGACCTAAGCGAAAGTCGGACGCTTAACCGACTAAGCCACCCAGGCGCCCCTCTTTTGAAAAGGTTTTGTCACTAGAAATTTGAAAGTCAGTAACTTTGAAGGGTGTTACAGAACAGCACGTGCAAGGAACAACTAAGAAAAGTGACTTCCCTCTAAAGGAGAGATTATTAGGCCCTTCGTAGTTCTGTGTTTTACTCAGAAGACAGAAATAAGTGGGTATGAACTAAATAATAGGCTTCAATGGTAGAGCTTGTTAAACATGATAATGATTATCAAAGAAGATTATGGGTAATTCTTCCGTTGAACTAAATATAAATATATATAGTGTCTGTGTGTATTTATTTATTTCAAAAGACTGGAGAGAATCACCCATTTAAAATGATTTAGAAACAACCTTAGTCTACAGAAGACTGATTAATTCATCAGCTCTCTTCTTACTGTATAATCTCCAGGAATCTGGAGTACTGCTTACTTCTATAAAAATCACACATTTCACATTATTACTGTAGTCATGCCAAACTATTGATGATCAGCTATGTTTAGAAATATACTCCAGAGCCACTGTGTTTGGCAGAAACCCTATTTTTAGAAAAAAATGAATTTTTAGAAAGAATTTTAATAGTTGTACGACAGAAACATTGAGTGTTTCATTCTAGAATTAAGACAGTGTAGGTGAAGTTGATGGGGGAGGGGTAAACACTGACCTAGGACCTGGGTTCTTCCTGAGTCCTTTGTTTAGTAGCATCGTAATTCACCGAACGTGTTCTGAGCTGATGGTCTTGCGTGCTTCACAGAATCATCACAACGTGCCTCTGATACAGGAAGGCTATTTTGTAGACTGAGTCTCAAAAGTGGACCAGCTTGCTACGGACACGCAGCTAGGCAGTGGAACCGAGACCTGTACTCATGTCAGACTAACTCAGAGGCCTATTTCCCTACTCCTATGCTGAGAGTAAAACTTAATTCACTTCATAATTGTTATTAAGATAAAAAAGAAAGAAACACTTGTGAGCTAGGAATGGTGTAGGTGGATAGGGGTCAAACAATGCTGTAGAAGTGCCCTCTTGATGTAATGGTATTTTTTGTTCCCACCTCAAATTTATTTTGCTTAGAAAGCCCAAGACCCCCCAGAATCTGTTCTGCATCTTAAGCATCTCACTGGGATTATTTGGTAAGGATTTTTACTTCCTTGAGAAGCCCCCTTCACTAGGAGGACTTTTGATTTCCTGTTTGTCAACCGGATGTGAGGTCATTTATCAAAATAAAAGAATCCCTGCCTCCCCATGGCTGTGGTTTTGTAGAGTATTCTATGAATTTAAAAAGATGTAGAAAATTTCTGAAATTAAAAGGGCTAGTAATGAGCAGGACTGGTTGGTCAAAGTTGGGGAGTGATGTCAGTTTTCCACTCTCTGGTAGAAATTCTCATTGAACTTGATTGACAAGTGGGCATCGTGTGCCCCTGTGAAGTGTTTCAGTAGTTGGAAGGACACATCTATTTGTTGATAGTCCTCTGAACAGAGCTGGCAAATCCAGAAACAGATCCACACATGTGCATTCTGTCTACTCTCCCTACCAGACATTCTCCTTTCCGAAGGAAAACTGTAAGCTGCCTTTCCCAAGTGGGATACTACTTTTAGTGGGGGAGGGGAGCGAAAAACAGGGTTAACTGGGGTTGAGAGAGGCGTGATTTATCTGACATCAACAGTGACAGAACTCTTGAGACAGTCAAAGAGTGCCTTGTCTTTGAAAAGAGAGGATATCAGATTGAAACATATGCACTTGCTTTTGTTTTGCAATTTCCTATTGTTCAACCTGGTTGTTAACATAACCTATCTCTTCTTGATAACCAATGATTATGAAGATTGTAGATCGTTGTAATTATATAACTGCTGTTGACTGTTTGCTTTCACCTTAGCTTTGCTGCCTGAGGGCCTGACCAGTTTCATGCAGCTTCAGGATGTGTGTGTGTATATGTTTGTGTGTGACAGAGTCAAAATACATGTAATATAAAGTTTATTGTTGTAACCATTTTACAGTGTATAATTCAGTGGCATTTGGGACATTCACAGTGCAGTGTGGTCTTTACCTCTGACCTGTTCGGGAACATTTTTGTCACCCCGAAAGGAAACCCCATACCTGTTTAAGCACTAGCTTCCCGTTTCTTCCTGTCCCCTAAGCTCCTGGCAACCACTCATCTTTTTTCTGTCTCTATGGATTTTCCTGTTCTGGATGTTTCATACAAAAAGAATGAAACATGTGACCATTAGTGACCAGCTTCTGTCACTCAGCATCCTGCTCTCGGGGCCCATCCGTGTTGTAGCAGGTGTCTGCTTGTTACCTCTTTTCTTGGCTGAATGGAATTTTACTGAATGCCTGCCCTGCGTGTTGCTTCTGCATGCGCTTCAGGTGTTTCAGGTATCCTTTCTCTGTTCAGGTGGGCGCCTGTCCCTCCTGATGTCTGTCTGCCTCCTTGCCTGTGACCACTGTGTCTTATTGCCACTTGGGATCTTCAGTGGGTGGGGAAATCCTTCTCATTTTCTTAAAAGCGGTTCTAAATCTTGCCATACTGTTCACACTTACAGTCCTGTCTTCTTTTCTTTACTTCCAGACTGGTAAAAAGAGTAGTATTTTCTGCCTTCAATTTCACCTCCCATCTTCTTCCCAATCCCCTGCCGTCTGCTTTTCGCCACCACCAGTGCACTACTGAAGTGACTCTCGCCTGAGTCATCACTTACCTAGTGACAGCACAAGTGCGTGGCTTCCTTTCCGTCCTCTGTGAACATCTGGCGCCTCCACCTACATTCTTGACTTTCCTCCTTTGACATCTTCCACGCTCTTGGCTCCTGTTTGTCCTGCCACACCTGGTCAGTCGCCATAGGCAGGTCTGCATTTACATTTCTTCTCCTCCTGTCCCCATGTGGTAAACTTCTCCTCCTTGTGAGAGCCCCATCCTCTAGCCTCAGGGCGAGCTGCTTCCTCCTTTGTGTCTGTGTCCTGCTCTCTGTCATCCTTAGAATGCCATGTTGTGTCCCCACACAGGCTGTGAGATGTTGGGGATAACACAGCATGCTGTATAGGTTTAAATGAATGAATGAGTGATTAAATGCATACCTTGTTT